GTCCACCCCACATTGTGTTTCCCAAACTGATTTTTATTACACATGTTTTATAGATCAAGTTGATTGAACTGGTCATGTGAGTCAGAGTGAAAGAGGGATTTGCAATCTCTCCATGACTTATGCCCTTTCTGTGGGTGTCGATGATAGATATTTTTGTGAATTGGCTGGTAAGCCATTTACAGTGGATTATTTTTAATTAAATGAGTGAGATTTTAGTAACAGTTATGACCAATATTGTATTTCTCTTACATCAGAGGAGCTCTTTTCTGTTGACACCAAGGAAATGTTAATGTATTAATTGTAATGTTCAAATTCTCTGAGTGCTTTTTCTACCCTTAGTTCTGTTTTAAAAACTATTTATTTTTTGTTCTGTTTAGTTGTTGTTAGCCAACCCATAAGGACATTTTCATATATTGGGATTTTTAAAAAAATATATATTTGTTTACTTAATTGTAGCTGACTAGAAATTACATACATTTTTCATATATTTTTTCCTCTAGGTATCTGTTACTCCTCACTCTGGGAAATAGGCTAGATTTGGTCTTACTTAGGGAAGCTATTCTCATAATTCAGGGCAAAAAAATCACCAGGAGTGGTTATATTTAATATTTTTTTGGTAAATGTAGAAGTTCTACCAAGGGTTGACTGATCAAGTTGATTATATTTTCTTCTCTTTATTTTCTTTTCTTGTATTCTATTTATAACATTTCAGGGTTACACTTTGGGGGCGGGGAGTTGGACCATTTTAAGAATATTTCATTTTCATGTTTGCAGCATTTTGTTTAAAACAGGAGTGCTAAAAAATATCAGTGGATGGAACACCTTGTTTGATGTGGTTTAAAGCTAAAACACTCAAATTTGCCAAAAAACACCATTACCAAGTTCATCCTCAAGAGGTTTTTTAGTGGGAAGAATAACACTAAATAGGTGACAGACCTCAGTCAGAGACATCCAGTTCTATGCAGAAAAGAACACCAAAAAAAAGCTCAGAAATTAATCTTAATGTACGCTTCTTGGAGGAAGCAAAGGAAGGACGCCAAATGTTTGACAGGATTTCCAGGTTCCATGGCTGCATTAGCACATTGACTCACCGGTCTTGCATAGTGATCTGTCTCATTTGGGATTCAGTAGAAGGTGCCTACATCGTGGTCTCACTCCCTGCTGATTGGTTTGCTGAGATCTCAGCTCATTATTTCTCTGCCTCATTGCTATCTATTAGGTGATGCTGATGAATAGTGAAATCACAGTGATCTTTCTCTTATCCAAACATATATGTGAGCTTGGATTTACTGGAGTGATAGAGAATTTGTTGTCCTTAAACCTCAATTTTTTCTCAAAAAAATTTTTTTCTCAGCTTTTTCACACTGAGTTAGAAAAATAACTGTGTATTTGTTTTATATCTCTCTTCTTCATTATCTCCGGTATTTAGCTTCTCATAATAAGAGAGACAAAATGTATTTGAATGCAGATCACAGAGGTTTCTGAGTACAGCCTCAAAACCTTAAGCACCAGATCTTTCATTCTAGAGGCTCCTTTCCAGTCTCTGCTTTACCTTAATCCCTTTATTCAAAATCTTTTATAGGTGTTGACATATGCCTATTTGTCTACAGTTCTTTCAGGAAGAACTAACATTTGAACATTTGGGCTGCTAAAATCCTGGTTCTTTTGGAAAGGAGACAATATGCCATTACATGTGTGTCATTATGTAATGCAAAACCAGGTCCATGCTAACTCAGAATCATTCTTTACTGGAATATTTATTGGACATCTGTATATCTCAGACTTATCTGATTAGATAAAATTCCACTGGAAAAAAATCTTATTCTATTTTGCACAGAATAAGCAGCTAACAAGACAGAGGTAATGCAAATACAAGATGTTATCAGCAGGCAAGACAAGCAGCAGATTTCCTACACCATGATGACAATTGTGAATAGTTTGAATGCACAATTTGTACCCTCTTGTAAGTGTGGCATAACTTCTCCTTCTCTTACATATGACTTACCTGTCTCACAGTCTCTGTGGAGAGGAATATGCATACATGCAATTCCTATGGAAGAGCTGTAAATTTAAACTATGAATTATTATATAATTATTATATAATTATTATATTATTATAATTATTATATAATAAAATATATTATTATTTATAAATAAATATTATAAACTATATATTTATTTGTGGGTTATCCAGTGCAGTGGCACGCTGAATTTTCAATACTTATTGAAAACAGTATTTGTTTCCATAACAATACCCAGTCTGAGGTATAAATTGGGATGGCCGGTCTGAGATGGTGCTCACCTATCAGAATGCTGTAGTGTGCAGACATACATCAGCAATATGAGGTGTAACAACATCTCCACAGGTTTGCTAGAATACTTTGGCAAGGAGGTTTGTACACAAAAGTAGAAGCTTGCTTTGTCAATCTCTTCTGCTCGAAAAGTTTACCATGAAGTTACTAATGAGTGCAGCTTGTGAGCATTCTCTGTGCTGAACATGTTCCTGCACACATTACACACATAAATACTGTGAATGGTAGTAGATAGACTTCATCTGATGTAATTTAGACATGGGATTAATTCTGACCCAAATTACAGAATGCATAAATTGTTCCTAATTTTAAAATAATTTTTGGGAGCAACTAGATGCAATTCACCTTAATGAAATAATACAGCTGTAGGGAATAAAACACTAAACTGAGAAAAATTCAGGGCACTTGAGACCTTCTTGAGGTGAAGTATTGATGATTTCTCTGAATTGTAAGTCTTACAAAAGGCTTATGATGTGTTACTACTTTTATTCTCAGACAAAGATTTGTTCTGGCTTTTATTTTCTCTTCTTTACATTCTTACTCCTACAAGGGAGATGAGGTAAGCACTGGATTTATATAATACACAGTACAGATAATTTTGTTGAACAAAATAAAAATAAATCACAGCTATTTTCTGAATATATCCCTTTTTCTGTCCGAATAAATTTCAGATTGTTGGCAGTTTTTCCACAAGGTTTTCTGTGACATCAGACCTAATTACCACCTGTTCTGCTCCTTAAAAATATGGGATCCTGGCAACACAGCTTCCTTTCTCTGATCACGGGGCAGGAAAGCAATTGCAGGCTATTGCATTTGGATTTGTCAGAATAAATAACTAAAAGACTCATCAGCTTCTCACTAATGAACAAGGAAATGTGATTAAGAAACTTTAAGGGAAAATAGCTGAAAACAATATAGAAATGATACCAGGGATGATTGCTGTGAATGAGTGACTGAAATTTCTGAATAAGAGATTTCTTAAACCAGGCACAAGGACAGTAGTTTAATCTCCTATTAAAAGATTCCTGTCAGTTTGGAAAAGCTCTGAATCAGGAGATTAGACACATTTCAAAAGCTGACAAGGCAGTCACTTCTCCTAAGACAGTGACTTTCTGGCAAATGCTCAAAAATAACTTTTTTTTGTGTGAGATTTTGGTTTTCTTTTTTCTCTTTCAAGACTTTTAACTTCTACCCAACAATGACTAGGACATTTCGGACTAGTCAATCTTTTATTCTCAGAGACTCTAAAAATACAAATCATCTTTCAGATCAAAATGTTCTAGAGATGCTTACCAAGTTTACTGTAGCTAGCATCTAGAAATTGCACTGATTAGCTTCTGGCATGCTTCCTTGCAAATGCTTTGCATGTTAGTATCTCATTAAATATCTTATTCCTCTTTATTATTCTTCAGCACCAAAAAAATGTGTTTCTACCTTATATCTAATCTGTTACTATGCTTTTAACGTATGCTCTCCCAAATTATCTAAAGGAGATAACACATAATAGAGAAACTAAAAAAAAAGCTAAATAACAGATGCTGCTGCAGTTCTTCTGCATGCCAGGAGAAATGTATCTTACTTTTTTCCTTTATATACATTAGTAAAATACACGGTCTTTTTATGAATAAAGGCACAAAAGTCAACAAGATTACAAATTTTCAAGTGTGGAACTTTCCAGATACTCAGATATAAAAGTAATATGCACAGAAGTAAGTGTGAGATTCATAGTTACAAAGATTAATACAAAAAGGTAAAATAAAATGTGAAAGATGCTCATGAGCCTCAAATAGCATACTCAGCATTACAGAAAACAGTCTGGGTCTAAAACCAAGGAAGAAAAATATTCTGCTACTTCAAGACATCTTTGATGATTCTTCACCTGTTTTTATTCTTTCCACGTGATGTAAATCCACCATAGTGCAGTGCACAGTGTGCATAATGGAAGCTCCTTCAACAGGGATATCTAGGAAAGACACAACCTATCCTCAAAGAACAGAGATGTTGATAAAATCTTCATCTGTCAGGAATTCTCTGCAGTTCTCTTTTCCAAACTGTGTAGCAAAAAGAGAAAAAAAAAATACTTTTATGCTTTTCCCAGGCCAAGTTCTGAGAAATCTTATCTGTAAAGTTTCTGTTGAGCCTCCAGATTGCATGGGTGTAGTCAATGAAGAATTCACAATGCCCTTTCTTCTTTTATAGAAAGAAGTCTTGGAAGAATAATTCTTCATTATTCAAGTAAATTCCTTGTAAAATTACATTTTTATTTTGTCATTACATTTAGAATTTTATTATTTTTGTCTCAGACAAACAGTCTGCTTTCTGTGCTGTGTTTCCATGATCTCCAGTTAGATCTGGAGAAAAACTTGGTTTTCAGTTTATTTGTACAAGAACATCTTAGTTTTATGTATAGACTAGAAGAATAATTCTTGTAATTCCTGTAAACCATTTCAGTGAAACTTTACCTTTCTACAGTAGATTAACTATAGGTAAATCCTTGGTGCAACACTACTTCTGAAACATCTGCATGATGAAAGAAACACTTGAAAATTGTACATGCATTTAAAGAAACACAAAACTATCAGTTTTGTGCTAATTGACTCACACCACGCCATTCTGAAAAATCATCCTTTTTTATACATTGCCATAAAAATAACGCACCTGACATGTATGTGCACTTTTCTTTTCTAGGTGGAATGGAGAAAATAAAGCAGCATACCTTTACATTAGCTCACTACACCTACACTGTGCTGTCTAACTTAAAATATGCCAATGGGGCTCCTGTAGTACGTATTTACAGTGACACAGATTTCAGCAATCCTGATGTCCAAGGTCCAATCATTAATTTTAATGTGCTTGATGAAAATGGACAAGTGCTCGGCTTTTCACAGGTATGTTTTTTCTCTTGTCTTAACTTGAGTTTACTGTTGTACTTTAACTTAAGCGTGTTCACAATGAATTCTTCATCCTAAAATAAATCTTTTATTCAGAGTAGTCCTTTCTGAGGTTTTGGGTTTGTTCTTCATAGCTCTGCACTGCATATACACACCATTTTTAAAGCAGTAGAAAAATAATCCAATAAATAGTGCTAGCACAATACAAAATATGTAATAGCCAGAGTCATTATCTTACAGATTTATTACTCCACAAAAAGGAAGTTTGGAAGTGTGCTGTTTTAACAGGATACATTGACTAGGCAGTTTGATTCCCTGCTGGCTTCCTTCTCTAGAGTACTCACAATTGGGAATTGAAGAGCAAGTCTGGAAAAGCTGATAAAGAGACTGCCTTGGAGCTTTGACATACAAGTGAAATTAGATCTCAGAATATTGCAGTCACCAATGAAAGAGGAGTTCTCATTTCCCTTCAGTTGTAACAATTACACTCTTGTAATATTCCTGAGCAATGGAATAAAGTTGAATGATCAGTGTAAAGAGTGAGATTCAAGCTCAAGAAATTCTTAAATGCTGTCTTTCTCAGCAGCTTTTTGTAGCCTTTATCCATCAGATATACCAAGTGTCTTTAAGATGAAGCTTCATTAAGCTTTTCTCCCTTCAGCAGAGAGTGACCATAATTGTGTGTATGGCTGTGCACCGTGTCGGCAGTGGGTCACACAGGGGACAGTTGCTCACTTGCTCACCAGCAGAAGGCAGAGAAACCACAGTGCTCTTGTTTTTCTTGCTTCTTCTTTTTTTCCCTTGGCTTCCTGAGAGAATAGGATAATGAGGGGAACATGGAGATATGTCTACAATACAAGATGAGATCCATTTCTCACTGGGGAGAACAGAAGTGAAGCATTGTTTTATAGCTGCAAGTGTGGAGTTTTACATTTTATATGACATTTACCTGATGAACATGGGATGGCCAAATGTAGAGTACTCAATAGGCTGTTCTTCACATGCATCTTTTTTAGACAATGCAACCAAATAGTGGCAAATGTTCACCAAATTTCATTTCAAGCAATCCACATTTTAGGAATTAATTAATCATTTATGTAGCCTTCAATATGTGTGACAATGTTCAGAAATTATTGGAGATATTGACACAACTGAGTTTGTAAAACTCCCCAAACACTTCAATGTTGCTTCTGTTCTTTGATTAAAATCAAAACCTTTATTCTGATTTCTGATTTTCACAACTTCTTAGTAAAATTGGCTGATCCGTGTTTCACTTTTTAAAACTCAACCATACCCTCAAATTAAAAATTCTTTCATAGTCTTATGAATCCATTGTGCCTGTTTGCTGCAGAGGCTGCTCGTAAAAAGCTTCTTTATTCATCTGTATCATCTGGATTGTGCTGTTCACCAGATTCTGAAGTTTTCTAGCATATGTGGAATGAAGAGCTATAAAATTTTCAATTGCATCCCAGTTTCATCTAAAGTGCCTGTTAGACTACTTTGTTTAATTAAAATAATGTGCAGTTTTTAATGAGTTTTAGAAATTAACAAGCACTATTCTTTCCAAAGATACAATATGTGTGATATATATATAATTGGCTTTATGGAATGAAATTCTTTCATAGACACCTTATAGAAGTTATGGGGGAGAAAAAACCTTTGCTGCTTCCTGTTTATGATTACAAAGAAAATACATACAACAGAAAGTAAGCTTCACCAAACTGACCATGTAATCTCTTCATACCTGCATGCATGTCTAAATTTATATAGATTTATTTGAATCAGTGTTAAATCCAATACTTTTGTTAGTTGTTTGGAAGTAAAATAGTGGCCTCTTCTTTGGTGGTGTCTATGGTCTGCACATTCATGTGGATTGACAGGGCAGTCTCCACATGCAATCCAGTGGAGTCAGCAGAACACAGTTTCAGAAAGCTCCCAGAAAATATTTTGGAGAATTTTTCATGAAGGGAAAATTGGATGGCATTTACCTACTATGAGTGGACACCATTAATGACTCAGGTTATCTTTGCATATTAAAAGAGGACAGACTTAATGTCCTATTCCTTTATGGATGATATCCCATCTATAATTAATTACCTATAACCAGGCATCAAACCAATTCTATTTGCTCTCTGACAGGTAATTGTTATGTGCCCATTGCCTATTTAGGGCACAGTGTGACTGGACATTAACATTTGGTAGCTTGAAAAGGACAATATGGCCAACTAATTCCACAGAAAATATTATGAGGAGGCTTGGAGCAGTTTATTTGGAACACTTGAGATTGGCAAGAAAGCCTTCATAAGTAGACACTGTCTTCAGAGGATACCAAGCTTACATTTAAGCCTCAAGATTTGCATAATCGGCATGATATTAAGAATTCTGAACTAAGCTCAAGATATTTAGAATGTGAAAGGCATGTAGTGAAATACACGACATGTAATGCCACTGCTGAAAAATGAAAACAGAGAAAAAAATCATGTCTTTTGTCTGTGTAGCAATGGGGAAGAAAGTTTTTCTTACCTGCTCATATGGTTGAAATCCATTTGTCAGTGTTATCAGCTTAATTACCAGAGCTAACAAGATTGTGCCAATAAACACAAACACTCTTGAATTCCATGCATAGGTCAATTGCACCAAGAGGAAACAGCCACAATCTCAGGTTCATCTTTGAGTAAAACCTTCATTGTAGCTCTGAAGAGCAAATGAAGGCATTTCATTAAAGTGGAAAACAAATAACCTCACCATGATTGCATTCTCAGAGATGGCATCAATTTTTACAGCCTCCTGTCCCAATATAGATAATATAGAATATTTGGATGTTAAGAATTGATAGGGTGGGAGTGAAATAACTATGGAAGTTAGTTGAATTGCTATTGCTTTTTTGTTGAAATGTTTCTTTGTGACTGTTGAAGGGTAATACTGTCGTTGAATATTATACTTGGAATAAAGTTGTATTGTATACTATATGTATCATTGGTTTAATTGACAGTTTAATTACTTGTTTAGAGGTTTTTGCTCTAAATGTTAATTAAAACAATTAAATAAGAGGGACTTGTGGACCCAAAACAACAATAGTAATTCAAAAGCTTTGGTTTTAATTTAGATTTTTCATGAAACATTTCTTTATCTAGGAATTAAACTACTACCATTTTGAAATTTCCATAAACCTCTCATCTTTGAGCACTAAAACTGCATTAAATTTCCTCCTTTGAGCTGCACCAAATACTTTCCTTGAAAATTATTTCCTTTAGTAAAGCTGTCTCATAGACTAGTATTGGTAGTGATTTGTTCTTGAAATCACTTGAGAGGACACCTGTAGTCTTTTCATGCAAGATGCCTGTCCTCTGCAGTAGCACCTCTGTCATTTTGTTAAGTGTTTATTTGTACTGCAGCATCAAAAATCCCCTGTTACAAACAGGAGTTGAATTATGATGAGTACATGACAGGTCCAGGACATAAAGATGGCCTTTTTGCCAAATGGCTTCTTCATATGTAATTGTCTGGTCAAGAATGGGTAATTCCCCAGCATTAGAGCTTTTGCTGCTAATGAAGTGTGGACAGATGACAGACTGGTAATTTGGAAAGGTGCAAAAGTGCAGGAGGGTAGAGATGAAGGACCTCTGCAGGACAGAAGCAGAAGAGTTGACACTAAAGCAGCAAACTGTCAATCTTCTGCCTCCTTCTGAGGCTACCAGAAAAAGAGAAGCAATCAGCCCTAGACTTTAAAGAGGGCTTGTGATGTAACAAAAGATAGTGGTACAGATATATATCTGGTGCTGAGCTAATGCAACAAACTCTTCACACAGAGAATCATCAGCTCATTCATTAACAATGAGTATCTGCAGCTTTCAGCACATATGAATATCATGTGTTGTCATCCCCAAGCCTTTTCCAGGCTCTTGAACACTGACAGCAATGACTCAGCTTCAATTTGCATTCTTGCCATCTTTTATTTTTTTCAGCAAAAACTTCCATAGGACTCTATGAAGTCCTGATTTGAATGTCAAAGAGATGGAACAGTCATAAGAGAACAACATAGATTTGAAACAACAATCATGCACTCAAAAAATGTGGATTTCTTATAAACTGGGTCAAAGTGAAAATGTTGTATGTTGTATGTTCACACTTGCAGATGTGAAAAAACATCACCATCTCTGCTCTGGGAGACCTTTTATGCTAATATAATTTATGAAATCTTCTCTTTGTTTTGATAGAGAGATGAGATCTGTGAAATTCTCTTTGTATATTCAGTAGATAATTTCAGAGTGATTTTATAATCCCTTCACATTTTATTCTATAAAGTCAGTTTGGAAGCCAGAAGAAGGTAAAGAGGTGACACAGATGGCCAAATGGAATTTTACCTGAAATATTTGTTGAATTGTATGCACGGGAGAGCTCTTACCCAGCCCAAACTTTCAGTTCAGTGTTATGCCAGTAGTGAAAAATAGCCCTTCCTTTACCAAACTTTTTCTTTTTCCACTCTGATCTTCTGAGACAATATTTTTTTTCTCCTCCTGTGCGTAATAGAGCCAGTAATGGGCTTTAAAAAGTGAGCAAACCATCATGGCTGTTTTTTGAAAAATGACCATCATTTCACATTTCAGCTGTGGATTACCAGCATCCATCCCTACTATGCTTTTTCACACTGCCTCCTTAGCTTGGAGCCTGAACCTAAAGCACAAGTCACTTGCTGTGATAGTCTCACCTACAAAAGTTCCCTTAGTGGGAACATATATGCTTGCCATGTTCTCTGAAGATCCTGTCAGGAAGGGAATGAGCATCAGTCCATTAGCAGTCTCAGCCTTCTTGCCTACCACTTCACACTTGTGTGTGATAGACAAACTGCTATAACAGGAATAGTTGCCAAAGACAGAGAATGTAAACATTTTGGTTTGCCTTAGGAAGGCTCTTCTGCAGTGTTGCATATGAATGAGTTTTGCCTCTCGAGACTGAGAGCCCTGCTCACATAGATTATATATAATCAGTTTTGCCTT